TATATACTTAGCTTATTTATATCATTTGAATCTCTACCCTCAAAGATAATGCATTATTATATATAAAGTTATAAAACTCTTTGATTTTCACTAATTTGTGATTTTTAGTGCCATTTTGATTTAGGTCCCATTTGTTTTCATCCCTACGTATTGCAGAATAGGTTTAAGATATTTAATAATATTTATTATTTATTATTTTCAGCTCCCTTTCTTCCAGTGGGTATAATACATAGAGGAAAGAAAATTTTCAAAATATGAACTACATAGCTTTTTGCTTTTGTTTGGCTTTGAACATGAGACTTTTTTTTGAAGAGGTTTTTGCTATAGCGTGCATGCGCTCGCCAGACAGACAGAGAGAGACAGAGAGACAGAAAGCGAGAAATCACCCCCCAAGGGGAATGGTCATGCCACAATCCTTTCTCCTCCATTCTCCTCTTGGAATCTTGGGCATGCATGCACCCACGCCCGGCGTGAGTTTTAAGCCACCGGGTCCGGGACACGGACTGCGGTCAACTACGTGGGAGTCCAGCAACATAGCCATTATGCTAACTGCTGGTCCCCCACGAGACTTTTGCTTTATGAACAATAGGTAAGTTTTAACACATTGGCGAATGGTAACTCGCCCTTTATTTACTGTTGTTTGTAGGTATGCCTCTTTCAAAACCTTGTCTGCAAGCTCCAGACTCCTGTGCTCTTTCGTTCTAGTCTTATTGCACACAATTTCCTCTGTGTCTCTAACTGTTCTTGGTCCATTGGATTTGCTGGATAAACACTTGCGGAAGTGAAATACATAAAATGAGGTCAATTTAAAATATTCTAATACTGTTGTGGTAGGTTGCACCGTGATTTCTAATATCCTTGAGTAAGCAGCAATAATGGGTAAGAGATTTGTTTCCATTCCCTTTTGCTGAGTTTCAAAGTCCAGTGAAAATTAAATGAGAGAAACTTGGTCTAATTCAGCATAGTGCTGAAGGCCACGTGGGAAAAGTTAAATAGATGTTAGCTTTTAGTGATTTGGGCTATTAAATACACACACACACACACACATACACACACACACACACACACACACACACACACACACACACTTTTTTTTTCTTTTAAATTAGAACCCTTTTTTCCCCTGAGGATTTTCAGTTAGAGTTCTCAAAACAGGAATATATGGTTTCTTTAGCAATTATATATAAAGTATCTTAAAGACCTAGTAGGCAGAATAAAATTTACTACATCATTTATTTATAATTATTATTTTACATGACCTATATTAATCTAATAGTCCAATGTCTCATTTACTCATAATGTTTAGTGGGAATATACTTAAATAGGCATGCTCTAGAGTCAATAAATATAATTTACAGTTCTTTTCCTGACATGTTTACTAAGCCTTTCAAGCATTCAGCACTAGCAGAGTGAAATCAGTACTGTGGGCTCTGAACAATGTCATCCCTTAGCTGGCGCCAGGCCATAGAAATAGTACGTGAAGTCACAGGACACTTGACATTTTCTAGAGGTTACATTAAAAAGACATAGGTAAAATAAATTTGATTGAACTATATTGATATTTATTTAATATATTTACTAATTTCCTTTAACTCAGCATGTGAACATACGATTTCAATATGCAATTCATATAAAAAGTATTAATGTGATATACACATTTTGCATTCTTTTTTTCATCCCAAGCCCAAGAAATTTGGCATGTATTTTATACTCACAGCACATCTCAGCTGGGGCTAGCCACATCGGAAGTTTCCGATAGCCACCCGGGGCTAGCGGCTCTGGTGTTGGACAGTGCAGTCCCAATCAGCCTTGCCTCCATTGGAGACGCCAGAGGATGGCAATGGCATAAAGACAAAACCAGCTCAGAACCTGAATATATCTGTTCCTGGCATTTGATATGGATGTGACTATGAAAAATGATTTCGTTTCTCTAGATCTCAAATTCCTGTTCTTTATAATGGAGTTGTTAATAACTGCCATACTCCTCTTAGGAGGTTGGGGAAGATTAAATAAGATATTGGATGTGGGAATGCTTGGTTAAGTCATAAAGCACTATACTCATGAAAGGCATTATTACCTCTTCTACTGTAGGCTTACTCTCCTGACTTGCCCAAGGCTACATTCCAAGTTGGTAGGAGTATCCAGGGTGGAATCAGGGCTTCTGACTCCAGCCTTCTGCTTCAGCTAGAGGCTGTACATATCAAGCTAATTTAAAAAAAAATTCCATTTTACTTTTTAAAAAAGTCTTTTTATTTAAAATAAAATTTAGGGGGAGAGTGGTAGTAAGTGAGTTCCATATTGAAGGTCAGGGTCTTCTTGGCTACTGGCACAATGTTCGGCAATAAAATTATACATGGAGGATATTTATATACTTAGAATTACAGCCATCAAGACTTGGACTTTATTGCTTTCATATAATATAAAACTCGATGTTCTTCAAAGTTTCAAACAACTTCTAAATTGAACCGTGGTTTCCCCATTCTATTTATCTCCCAAATATAGTACGACCACAAGAAAGCCCTTCAGTAGTGCGCTTGATTAATAAAACAGATATGGATCCATTTAGCAGATTTTCCAAGGATATTTTTGGTTACAGATGTGGCTCATTAATTCCCATGTGTGGGATAACACCTCTTTCCTGTGAATCCAAAAGACACATTAATGTCTACTGTGGGAGTAATTCAGTTCAACGCATATCCTTCAGCGCTTACTGTGTAAGACAGGTTGGATCCAATGATCAAAAGGAGTTTGTTTCTCTGATAATTATCACTTACAGACATAACTTAACTTGAGGAAAATATAGTCTGTCTCTAGAAATGTCTAAAAATATAAAAAGGGAATCAGAAAAACTTCTAAATTATTTGAAAGAGATTTTAAAAGTTAGATTCTGTAGTTTTGGAGGACGCGAGGACGTTAGTTATCATGATCTAGTTTCATTCCCCTAATTGGATGCTTATGACGAAATTCATATTTAAATTGTTGTCTACATTTGTTTAAAATGAATTCCTTCTTAGAACTTAAAAACTTCATTAAAATTTAGAATTGTATACTATATGAAACCACGTACAAGCCAAGTTCATTTTCACTGAGGAAAAGACATACATTAAAAATTTTCTTTATTCTTTTTTTCAATCAAAATTCCTTCAGAATGACTTACACCCGGTTATTTTCATTAGCAAACTAGCATATATAAGCTGCAGGCCTGCCTGAATTGATAACCATGTCGAATAAACTTAATTTTTATTTTTACATGCTGATTGCTGTTGACTATTGAATGAAATAATTTATGGTGTAACCTTTACATTTTATTGCTCTTGCACCCTTGTTTAAAAACAAAGAGCTTAATTTTTTTTAAAGTCCAATAAAATGTATTTTTGTATTGCCACCATAACTTTACAAGCAATTCTTCTTCTCTGCACTGTAATAACCACCCTCTGCATTTTTTATGATTTAGCTTAACATTATTATTGTAACTTTTTACTGGGTGAGCCTATAGATGCCCTTGGCAGCTAGAATTTGTTGCAAGGAATTCAGAAGCCCTGTCTGATGGTTGCAACAATTATAAAATTTTTCTGGATGGAGTTCAGAGCCTTACTTTGACATTCTGAATGTAACCCATGGCGTGGTTCTTTCATCAGCTTCTCCAAAATCCATGATCAGTTTGAGTTCTATAACCTGGCGCTTAAATGAGCATGTATTCTTTTATTCAATGGTTTTGCATTAAAAAAAAATTAATGTGAAGTACATCTTGCCTTTCTGGAATCCAGCCAAAATAATTAGTGGTACCTATATTAAAAATGTAAAACCATCGTAAAATCATTAATGTATTTACATTTCTCCAAGAACTTTGAATGGATTCATTCTAGACAGGATGTGGTCACGTGGCATTAACTACATGCTGGAGATTATGCTTTTTTGTTGTTGTTTAGGGATATCCGCAGCAAGAACACAAATATCTGAGGAATCGTAACAATCCCTTCTTTCAATTACAGAAAACAAATAAACTAGTGTATAAAGAGCATTGCACTCTTACATATTAGGAAATAGTGTGTGTCCAAAAGTCACACTTAAGTCCAGGCAACAGCAATAACCACAGGAAGGCTGCGGCTGCTATGAGATAATGTCTCCTTGTCAGAAATGGAGGGTATGTCGCGTGTGTGTGTGTTTCCATTGAAGCTCAAAAGTTAATGATGTACGTTGTATTTTTTTTATTGCTTCAACTGAGAGATCAATTAAGGAATAAAAGGGATTCTGGCATGCTGTTATTATTTTTTTTTTACTGTGGATATATTTAATATCACATGTGAATAAAACCGTATTTGTTCTATCATGCTCTGTTTCTTACATCCTAGATTGTCTTTAGGAAAATTTAATACATATCACTTCAGTCATCTGAAAGGAATCATTTCTTCATTATAATCCATAACTTAGAACTATAAAATATCAGTCAGAAAAAAAAGTTGGCCCAATTAAGAGAAATGTGATAATGGTAGAAAAACACATCTAGACATGACTGGGAGATGATAAGATTATTTTAATTTTCCCATTTGCACTGGAATTATTTATTTTACAAATCTCCAGATCTTTTATTACTTAAAACCCCCTACTGGATCATGAAGAGAAGCTTAAGTTAGCAATTTTCTTCTGCAAAATCTAGCTGCTCGCATCTGGTGAACACTTGGATACCTATCCAGGTCCTATGGAAATGATTATTTTAAGGCTCTATTCAATATGCCGGGACTTAAGAATCAGCTAGGATCACAGTCTGCACATGTATCTTACTATAGGGGATTTAAAAAGCTGGTATTAGTAGCAGTAGTTTCAAGACTTTTATGGCGGTGGAGATGGGGATGGGAGATAGGACTAGGAGGGACAGGCAGGTTGGACTCCCGTATGCCAATGTCCCTGAGCTCCAGCAAGCGACCGGCAGCGCCTGTGGACCACCCCGCAGCTGCGGTCCAGCATGCTCCACCTCCGCCCTCCAACGCTCCTCCACTTACATGTAGACTTTGCTGGCCTCCGGCGTGCAGGCCCAGAGTCCTTGCTTGGGCCCTCTGCTGGCACCCCTGGGGCTGGTTTCTGTCTGGTTAAAAGATGCTGCTCTACTTTCAGAACAGCTTCTGAAGAAGAAAAAAAGAGGGTACATGTACTCAATTGGAAAGACAATAGGGAGCCTGTGAATTATTATCCAAGTGCATTGTTTTCAGATCATAAGAGAAATTACATAACAGGAATATATAAATATACACTTTAGTAAAAAACGAAATGCTATCATTTACCGAAATTTATGTGTACATTTAGAAGGTATTGGAGATGCTCCTATGCTGATTAGGAGAGTACAATTATTTGTTTCTATGTAATCAAGCATACGTTTCTTTTTATGCATATGACATACATAGTTTTTGTATAAATAAATAGATCTATTATTGCTTTTCATGATATTATGTACTAAATTCTTATTACTTCAATACTCATTCAGTACAGATTTGAGATCATTTAGGAAGGATTTGGACATTTGCTATAAAGGAAGTGAATTTTTGAGAAAGTAATACCTCAGGAAGAAAAGCTAATTTTACTTAAGAAAAGTGACCTTTTTGAACACATTTCTCATCCAATTTGCATACAATAGTACTTGAGCTAGAAATTATACTTAGTTATTTACCAAATCAGATCTGATAGGGTTTTAATTTGGGAACAATTTTAGTTTTTCACTTGAGCTTTTGATATAATTTAAATAGTGAAATATACTTTATAAAACCTCTATAATCCACACTTTTTACAAATCATATGAGGCTTCTCTTCACTTAAATTGAATTTCAGAAATTTAACTGTGTTTTGGGTAATAGATACCCTCTCTGATGTTTTGCTCTATTTCACAGAGACTTGGTTAAGAAATATTTGTATTTGCGGTTTGAAAAAGATTTAAACAGAGACAACTTCAGACATTTAAATGAATAAAAAGATTTGAAAGCCAGAATTTATTTTATAGGAAATAAGTGGAGAATTGGGTATCCAATTTAGAATTTTTGCAATGTGATTTAACTGCTCTATTCTAGAGTAGTGCTGTCCAATAAAACGTTCTGTAATAACGGAAATGTTCTATATTTACACTCAGTATGGTCATGAGGCTGTTGAACTCTTGAAATGTGACTACTGTGACTAAGGAACTGGATTTTTAGTTTTATTTAATTTTAAGTAACTTGAGTTAGTTACACTGCCTGTGGCTAGTCTCTGTCGTATTGGAGAGTGACCATCACACTACCTATGGTTAGTGGCTATCAAGTTGGAGAGTGAAATTTGTCTTTTTTCTCTGCGTTTGGCACTTGGCTTAAAGTGGAGAAATACTTAAATATCTTCTAGCTACTCAATTTGTATACAATGGCAGTATCTCCAGAGAACAACCTAAGCTTGTCACCTGCCCTTCCCTGCATGGGCAGTGTGAGTTCAGGCCTGAAGGGAAGCTAGAGAAACATTCTGACTTTGGACTAAACTTATAGATATTCATACATAAAGTTTGGATCAGTCATAGGTGATCTGAAAACCTTTTGTCTCTTTACAGCTGTGAGATCTGAAATGATCTCTGGTCACAAAGTTCCATGATGGTGAACAGACTCAGGAGCTTGGCGTTTCCAGTCCACTGCTCATGTGGTCTGATCCCTTAAAAAAGACTGGCAGGTCATAGAGACAGATGAAGGAGGTGCTCCACAAACTTAGGTTTCTCCATGAAATAGGAACTCTCTAGATTCAAATTGGATATCACATTGGAACTGAATGGTAAATATTTTTTGTCCTTTTCCCTGCATCGTGCTTCAGTAGATATTTAAGCACCAGGCATGGCACAAAACTTAGTGTGCACTTGTGAGAGAGAGAGAGTGAGAGAGAGAGAGAGAGAGCGAGCGAGCACCCCCTAATGGAATGTGGTCACACTGCAATTCCTTCTCCATTCCCCTTTCTAGTCAGGATTTGGGGCCCACATGTGCACACGTCTGGTGTAGTTTTCACATCACAGGGGCAAGGATTTGAACTGCATTCAGCTATGTGGGATCTAGCTTCTAAAACCACTAGGCTATGTGGTTGGCCCCTAAGAGGCCTTTATGTTTCTGCTAATGTGATGAAACTTCTTTTTTCTTTTTAACTTTGCCATTTATAATAACATAAGAGTGCTGCAATCACACCATTTATGAAATGAATCAAATGTTTAATATTCAAGAACCATTGCAAGACCTCTGAAGAGAACAAGTAGCTAACCAGGAAATCTGTAGGTCATATTTTAGTTCGTGTTGGAAGAATGAGTTGGAAGTGTGGCAAAGAACTAAGTAAGAACTGTTTAGTCAGAATTCTTTTTTCTTTTCCACACAGTAGCTGCATAGTTACATGTATGGTCCCACCTGGATTTATTAGCTGAATTTTAAATGTGTCAGTGATGAAAATTTAAGAGTGAAAAAGATTAAGAATTAAATTAAATGAATGCAACTACAATGCCCAGTACTTAAAGTATTTGAAGACCATAAAGTTGTTTTGCCAAATATATCAATGGATAATGTCTTTTATTTTGTAGACAAAGAATTTGAAAATATGTTTTTTCTTTTCTTTCTTTCTTTCTTTTTTTTTTTTTTTGAGAAGTTTTCACTATAGAGCGCGTGTGCTCACCAGACAGAGAGAGACAGAGAGACAGAAAGCGAGAAATCATCCCCTGGGAAGATGGCCACTCTGCAATCCCTTCTCCTCCATTCTCCTCTCGGGATCTTGGGCATGCACGCACACACGCCCAGCATGAGTTTTAAGCCACTGGGTCCGGGATGCGAACCATGGTCGACTACATGGGAGTCCAGAGACATAGCCATTACGCTAACTGCTGGTCCCTTGAAAATAATTTTTAAACAAATCAGAAAGCAATAGCAAAAAAAAAACAAAAATAAAAAGATACATTTGTTTATATAAATGTGTGAAAATCAGTTGTATATAAAAACATTACATTAAGGTGTGAAGGGAAAGGGCCAGCAAGTGGCATGGTGGTTAAGGCGCTGGATCCCATGTGGCCAACCGTTGTTCCAGTCCCAGACCTGTTGGCTTGAGATTCATGCTAGACATGTGTGTGTGTCCCATAACCCCAGTAGGAGAATGGAAGAGAAAGAATTGTGGCATGGCTATCCCCCTGGAGGAGATTTCTCACTTTCCTTCTCTCTATGTCTCTCTGATGAGCCCACACACCCTATGGCAAAAACTAAAAAAAAAAAAAAAAAAGTGAAGCAAAGCTTGCTTTGTTCCTTTAAAAATGTTGTTCTTTATGAAGATTTCACCTAATTCAGTTTCTACTCCAACAACAGTTAGAGAGACTTTGAAAATAAAGGCAAAAATAATAGAGTCCCTATTTCGTTTTGTTTGTGCTTACACCCCTCAGTTGATCCTAATTGCATTTAAAATGCATATATTCTTGTTCTACTCTTCACACAGCAAATAGGTGAATTTTGAAAAATGTGAAGTCAGACTGTGTCATTCTCTTGCTCGTATACCCCACCTTTCCTGTCCAGTAGCTCCCCACAGCACTTAGAACAAATCTAAACTTCTTTTCTGCCTTCTGTGCCCCATGTGACCTTACTCTGCCATATAACTGCTCACCTCGCGGGCCTGTCCCCTCCCTACTTGTCCCCCGTCCCAACCACACTGGTCTAATGGAGGACGGTGCAGATCCTGGCTTGTAGGCCTTTGCTGTTCCTCTGCATCAAGTATTTTTCCCCCAGAATGCTGTCTGGCTGGGTCTTTCACCACTTAAATCCCGATTTGAATATCAATTCCTGAAAAAGGTCTTTCTTGTCTCCCCAATCTATTGTTATCCACTTATTTTCATATATCTATAACTCATTTCTCTTTAATTCTACAGCAGCAGTTGTATCTTCTTTAGTTAACAATATAGTTTATTCATATATTGTCTGCCTCAACACCAGCCCAACCTATCTCCCCAACCCCTCCTCAAGAGCAGGGAGTTTGCTTAGTGTACGTCCTTGCAAATAGCACCAGGCCTGGCATATGGTAGGTGTTCCATAAATATTTGCTGGACTCATTGCAAATAAATGCTTTTTGTATTTCTGAAACACGGAAGTTAGCAATGCATATAAAATAGTACTCGACATTATTTTTAAAAAATAGAAATTGTAAACAATATGGGCATTTTAAAAAGCTTTGATGGTTCTGATTAGAGTGAAGTACATTGCTTCAATTTTGAAAACAGAAAATCCCATAAACAAAATCAACATAAAACTATTTCAGGAGTGCGATGAGAGAGCCCTTGTCAAATTAGATACTTTTAAAACCATATAACTGCTCAACAGGCTCCTTGTTTCAAAAGGAAGAATGTTCAAGTCTCACCAATATGTTTATGGCTGCTGGACATGTGATTTATTTACTGGGTCAAGAACAAATCTTAGAAAAAGACTTCTCTTTCAGCTCTGAAGGTGGAAAACAGTATTTCATTTTTCTGAGGCTGGCTTAAAATAAACCCATAGAATGTGGCGATATTTTCACTGGGTGAATGGGAGTTGAAGCTATTTTTCTTGCTATCATTCACTATGGGAAATGTAGTGTTTTGGGTTTAATGGCCAAGTGTGATCACAAGATTCTATAATAATGAGATCTAATTCAATAAAACCCATGCAGAATCTGATTTTCTATTTATAGATATGCCATAACATTTCAGGAAGTATAAAACATTGTCTCAGATACTCAGGCAAAAGTTTTGACATGTGTTTCAACATAGCTTATCCCTGCCAGTTTTGAATTTCCTCTGAAAAGCAGGCTGGCTACATTCTAATGGTTCCTGAAGGAAGAAAAAGGACATATTATTAAACATGTCCTTTGGGACCTCTCCTTGCTAATTGTGTTACACACGCACTCTTATTAGTCATTACAACTCTGTAATAAATGAGTAAAGGCGACGAGAAGAAAGATTCTATTCTTCACACAAAGTTGAAGAAGATTGGTGAACCAGGGATCAGCAACACGGAGGCATTACCTATTCTTACCACATTGACATCATGCCAGGGTTTAGTTTCAAGTTTTTAAGAGACACTGTATTTATTTTACTGATTCATGGCAGTTGTCTGGAGCCTGACAGATCATTGAT